CGGAAACCGGAAGGTCCCTGTACCAAAAAAAAAAAATATGAAAGAGACGAAAGAGAATAAAATATTCGGCAAACTGACCATATCGATCCATGTATATTTTCTAACTCTATGTTGTTAATTACTTGTGTTATTTGAAAATTGGAGCCTCAAATTGAATTATAATTAATAAATACGTATATTTGTGGATAATGATAAAAAGGTATCCATACCAATTAAGTTTAACAGTGATGTGTTGCACTTAATTAGGAAACTTCATATCTATCTGTATATTAATTGTTGTTTAAAACATTATATTGGCTTAACTTGACACATTTTTGTCTCTTGTTTTAAACCATTTTTTGGTTCTTGTCTTTTGTTTAATCATTTTTGTGTTCCTCGTGCTTCATTAACATTTCCTTATTTTTAGAGCATTCACATTTTTTTTCAGTTAATTTTTATGTATAGTTGTTATATTGCAAAACTTTTTATTCGAGCTATTTATTTTTCAGTTAACATTTCCTTCTTTTTAGAGCAAAACTTTTTCATATTTTATTAATTCATCCCACTTTACTTAATTAAAAAATATCCCAAACATTTTTAACTCAACTATTTTTTTTAACTCAACTTTAACTCAACCTCACAATCATCAATATAATTAAATAATATCAAATTAATCATTCTTACACACCACACCACCTTAATTCACTATTCATCCACTCACGTAATTTTAACTAACTATCAATTCAAATTTTCTCTTTCCTACTTTACATCAAATCAACTTTAATCATTTAATTTTAAATATTAATTTAATATACTCAATAACAATTAATCATACAAACTTTTTCAAAACTAACCAAACAAAAAAAAAAAAAAAATCCAAACAAACCAAAAAAATTTTATATCCAAATCATGCTCTAACAACCAATACAATTATATACATGCTGATAACTAAAAACATAAAGACCAATATAATAATTATAATAATTATATACATGATCATATCTCACAATATTTTAAATCCCAACTACAAAATGCTTCAAAAAATATTGTAATTACCAAAAAAAAAACCATAAATGGTATATCACTACGGTTATGTTTGGTAAAACTAGCTGATAAACTAGCTTATAGCTTATTATTAATTTTCGAGCTTATAGCTTATAGCTTATTACTTATAGCTGAAAAGCTATCTTATATGATAAAAGTGTTTGGTAAAATTAGCTGATAAGCTAGTTGAAATAAAACTTTCAACGAGCCTATTTGAAAAGCTACCAAAAGAAGCTTATCAAATAAGCTCGACCTTTTTAAATAAGTCCGTCCTACCAAACGAAACTTATTTAAATACAACGAGCTTATAATTAAGCTAATCAAATAAGCTATAAGCTAGTTTATTGGTCTACCAAACATAACCTACATATACTCGAAACATGTATACATAACGCATGCAGAAACGTCTGTTTTGCTCTCTCGACCACGTCCGTCTCAAATCCTACTATGTTTGGTAATACTATGTACTAAGCTAGATTATCCGTCTCAAATCCTACTATGTTTGGTAATACTATGTACTAAGCTAGATTATACAACTCATAAGTAATTTTCGAGATTATAGTTTATATCTTATGACTTATAGCTTAAAAACTAGCTGAAATATTTGGTAAAATTAACTGATAAGATAGCTAAAATAAAACTTTTAACAAACTTATTTGAAAAACTATCTAAAAAGATTGAGATAAGCTCATATATTTAAAAAAAAAAAAATCTTTTTCTACCAAACAAAGCTAACCAAATAAATTATAATGTAACTTATTTGTCTATCAAAAATAGACTAAAAAGATTGAAAAACTATCTAAAAACTATAATGTAACTTATTTGTCTATCAAACTTATTTGAAAAACTATCTAAAAAGATTGAGATAAAGCTCATATATTTAAAAAAAAAAAAAAAATCTTTTCCTACCAAACAAAGCTAACCAAATAAATTATAATGTATCTTATTTGTCTATCAAACATAGACTAATTCACCTACCGATAATATCCACTGACCGAATTTTTTTTTTTTTATTTATTATTCTTAAAAAACAAAAACAAGATATAAATCTTAAATAAAAAATAATAGTTTACCAAATTAAATGTCATTATTACGCGTATATAACTTTGTATTATAATCTCCACACTCTTCTCATCTACTCCCTTCAAATCCCACACACATTTCACGTTCTAATTCATTTTCACGTCAGCTTCTAAGTACAACACCTATGGGGCGATTGTTTATTATTTTTACAGTAGAAATATCCAATCAAAACTTAAATTTAACTCAACTTTAACTCAATTCAACTATCTTTCATATGTTATCAATATAATTAAATAATATTAATCAATCATTCTTACACATCACATCAATTTTTTCACTATTCATCAACTCACATAATTTTAACTGACCAATACTTTCAATCAATTTTATCCTACTTTACATCAAATCCACATTAATTATTTTATTTAAATATTATTTTAATATATCCACCAATAACAAACCATACCACATTTTTTTAAAATTAACTATAGTTAAAAAACAAGCCAAATAAAAATTAGTTGAATCCATAAACACCGTTAGCATTCTTAACCACTTATTTGGTTTTCCATTTTCCTTCTTCCATTTTTTTTTTCAATTATTTATATTATTTCAATCCCAACTCACCGTCCAAACAAAACTCCATCCTTTCTATATATAGATATCTTAGCTAATATCAAACAAAAAAGGTATAGCTGCTAAACTATGAACCCACCGCCGCAAGACTGGCCCGAACCCATCGTCCGGGTCCAGGCCCTTTCCGAGTCCTGCGCCGGCTCTATCCCCGAGCGTTACATCAAGCCACCCTCAGCCCGCCCCTCGTTCGGCCCAGGACCGATCGAGGCCGCCAGCATCCCCGTGATCGACCTCGACCCGGCCCTCCGTGGGCCCACGATGCGGCTCGTGGACGAGGCGTGCCGCGAGTGGGGCTTCTTCCAAGTCGTGAACCACGGGATCCGGCCCGAGCTCATGGACCGAGCTCGGGAAGTTTGGCGGGAATTCTTCCGGCTCCCGATGGAGGTGAAGCAATCGTACGCAAACTCCCCCGCGACTTACGAGGGTTACGGGAGCCGGCTCGGAGTCCAGAAGGGCGCCGTGCTCGACTGGAGCGACTACTATTATCTTCACTATTTGCCTCCCGATTTGAGGGACTTCGCCAAGTGGCCCGCCCTTCCCGTTGAGCTGAGGTGCTGTGCGGTAAATTGCAATTTGGGTCCTATCAGATTATGAATTTAGCAATTAAGATCCCATCTTAGTGACATATAACAATTTAAGTGTTACAGTAATTGCACAAAAATTTTAAATTACATGACTCAAAAATAATATTATTGTATATGTCACTTAGTGCGTGGGACCTTTTAATGGCTACATTTATATTCTAATAGGAACGAATTTTTCTTTTTCTTATTTTTGGATCACGTGTGGAATTAATTTGTACGGGTCGGGTTTTGTTTGCAGGGAGGTTATCGACGAGTATTCTCGGGAGATAGTGAAGTTGGGTGGGGTTTTGTTGAAGATACTGTCTTTAAACCTCGGATTGAACGAGGATTATCTGCCGGAGGCGTTCGGAGGGGAAGATGTCGGGGCGTGTTTGCGGGTCAATTTATACCCCAAGTGCCCGCAGCCGGATTTGACTCTGGGCCTGTCGTCGCATTCGGATCCGGGCGGGATGACGTTTCTCTTGCCGGATGAAAATGTGCCGGGGCTTCAAGTCCGGAGGGGAGACGGGTGGGTCACGGTGAAACCCGCCCCGCATGCATTCATAGTTAATATTGGGGATCAGTTGCAGGTGATCGTTCTTGGCTATTCTTTTTTAAGAATAAAATTTAACTGTTCATAAACATTTTTTCTTTTTCTTTTTTCTATGCTTATCTTCATTTGACAAGACATGTTTGCGGCACGCGTTGAATTAGGTTAATGGAATAATAATAATAAGAATAAGGAAGATGCTACCTTCCCGAGATTAACTATCTCTGATGGACATGCTGATCTAACGGTTATAAATTTCGACGGAATAATTTCGTAACGGAAATTTAGCTTTTCCCTAAAAATAATAAATAAAATAAGTGCTGTAGCTTCATCACTAGTTCTCGGGGGTTTTGTCTATGAATTAATTAAACAGGATAATTAAGACTCTAAATTAAGAACTTATATCATAAATTTAATACATGAAACTTGTTATTATAACAGAACTTCTATAAAACCAACTGTCTGGTTTTCTAATTGTAAAAATTAATATTACAATTATGAGTGCATAATCTTTTCAAAAATCTTTTTTTAATAGTATATTTTACAAAATATAGTTCGTAAGTTATGCATAATTTTAAATAAAAATAATTTTATCAGTGTTCTTACATCAACATATTTAAGTGCTAAGCCCCAACCCGCCATCTAGTGAGTGTCTAGTGGATTCTAGAATCTTGTTAATTAATCAATATGACAGAGGGCTTGTATTAAATAACCAACCACTTGACAAAATAATATATTAAAATATAAATAGAAAATATGACACTTAATAATATAAATATGACAAATGGACCGTCTAACTCTAAAATCCTCTCACATCGAGTACGTCTCTATATCACACAATACATAAACAATAGTGCCAAACAACCATAATAGTTAAACAGTCATATTTTTTCAAGACATGCGCATATGCTTTCAAACAAGTCATATTCTATAAAACAATATAAACAAAAGTATTACATTTTATAATATAAATATGCATTTTGGTTAAATAAAGTATGATGGGTAAACTCCATGTCTAATAGTTACGCTGTCTCGCACACGAAATTTGTGTATAAACAAATACAAATTCTACTGTAAGACTATCAACTGATTAGACATTCATACTTTCTTAACAAAAAAACGCATACTCGTATTATAAAATGACAGACTTTTGTTTACGTTGTTTTCTAAAATATAACCATAGTGACATGAAAGTATATAAACATATCTTAAAAAAGTATGGGTGTTTGGCCAACATTAATATCAAAAAAACAAACATACTACAATTAAGAAATACAGTAGTAAAATATGGGAAATACTACGGTTCCATCACAGTACTATCCCGTCGTCAGTGTTTTAACCGTTAGATCATCTTATCAAAATACATATAAATCCAACGGTTAAAACACTAAACCGAATGATATCGTAATGAAACCGTAACATTTCCCGTAAAATATACATATAACCAAATTTGCTCCAATTGACTATCAAATATGACCATGTGTTTCTCACCAATTTAGGGCAATTGATTTTTTGGGGGACAAAAGCTACTGAAAAGTTTCTACCTTTAGCACAATTACTCCTTCATTTCTACCTTCCCTAAGCTATCATTATCTGAAAAGATATGTAATAAATTATTCAATTGGCAGCACCATGGAAATTATGGCTTTTAGTGCACCCGCAATGAGTTGAACATGCGTCCCAATTAATTGTAATTCATTCACGTGCCTGTGTTACATGAATTCTAATTGAACTTTACTAGCAAAGAAGTAAAATATTTATATTTTTTCAATATAAATATGTACAGCTAGTTATTATTTAAAAAAAAAAAAGGTTTTATTAGAATTCATGCAACACAGGCACGTGGTGGGTCTACTTGAGGACCGCTTTGAGCAACTTGCAAAAGGAGACGTGCACGTGATTTTTTACAATTAAATATTTATTATATTTGTTTGAATTTTTTATATTTAAAAAAAAATAATGAGAGAATTAAATAATTTCTACTTGATTTATCACTAATGAAATTTTATTTTTATT